AAAAAAAAAAAAAAAGTGAAATCTTAGTCTTAAGGAGACTTTTTGAGTCCTTTTGATTCATCTATGCCTTTATAATACCTTCTGTATAATTACCTCAAGGGTAGAAAAAACCTTGTATGTTATTTGTAAACTACACACACAACAAAGGATAAAAGTTTGTAGAGGTAACACAGCCCTTCTCACACCAACAAACAACTGTTTCAAAACAACCGTGGTCTGAAAACCACTTCTTTAATGCTAACATTTAAGACTACTACTAGTAGTAACCAAACCCACCAGCTTTTGGAACTAAACCTATCAAAAAATTTAACAGCTTTGTGACTGTACAGTCTCTTTTATGCAGGCAGACTTTCTGAAAGGTTTTTTCTAATGTTCACATTAGAAATACAAACTACTTTTTTTATTAAAAAAAAAAATAGGATATATTCACTTTAGTTTCAGGATAACTTTATGCGGGGTGCACAAAACAAGTTCCATCAGGGTGAAGGGGGAGAAAAAAAACCCACAGTAGTTTTACAAAGAATTCTCATGCTACTTTTGGACTTGAGTTTGTTTGATGCCTATATTTTCATATGGTTGGGAGTTGCATGCAGTCAAAACCTTAAAAGATAACAACTTTCAAATCTGCATACGTATTTCCTTACAGCACTAACCTGTCATGACAGAAAGGAGGGAAACAAAGCCAGGAGAATTTTAGTCAGAGCTGTGGTAAACACCATACATCAAAGTACATACTTCCAGGCATTACTGATACTTTGCACCTTATACAAGCCACTTTAAAATTCTAATAAGTCCTCCCTCCTTTCTATCTTAAGGTCTCATGACTCCTTATGCAACAAAGAGTTTGGGTTGCCTCCCAATCTTTAAATTAACCTTGGCTTGGCTCAAATACTGCTTTGTTATAGAAAAGCTGACATCCATACAAAAAAATATTACTCACGGTACAAAAAGAAATTATTGTGAAACATGCCAGGCTATGACAAAGTCACAATTCAGCACTGGAAGGCAGCTTTCATACAGTACCTTTTAGAGCCAAGGGGAAAAAAAATAATATCAAGATGACTTAACAACTACAAGCAGTGGGAACTGACTTATTTCTTGTAAGACTGTGGTTTAGTATAACCAGCTGAAAAGCATATTTAATGCCAAATACACGCTGCTTCTGTCAGAAAATACATAGTAAAAACTGCCACAGGGATTTGAAGAAAGTAAACCAACTCTTGAAGTGTTTATATATTTTTCCCAACTATTTTGTGGTATATCCTACACCTTCAGGAGACTGAGTGCCACGCTGTTAATTGCATATTCTTATTATTTCGGTCAACAGCTTGCCCCAAACTGCTTCAACCCGGGAAGGAAGCCTCCACTTATTGCCGAATGCGCCTTATCTTTTGGTTTTTTTCCCTCGTTACGTTTTTCACTGGGTTCTACCCGTGTGACAGCGGAACTGAAAACATGAATATTCGATTTGAGACGGAAAAAAAACCCCAAAAATCAAATACTAATACGTCTGCCCAAGCTGCTGCCCGTTTGGGCGCAGGGAAGCCCCGCTCCCGCCTGTGAGGGGGGGCCGTGACCAGGCCGTGCCCGCAGCGCTGACCGCCCTTGTCCCTCCGGCCCAGCTGGCGGCCGCCGCCCCCTTCCTGCCTCGGTTTACCCGGGCACGGCCCCAAGGCGAGCTCCGCGGTACAGGCCGAGGGCACCCGGTCCCCCAGGCACCCTCCGGCACCGGGGCTCACCCGCTCCCCTCAGCCCCGTAATGGACGAAGACAACCCCCCCCCCCCCCCCCCCCCCAGCAGCGGGCCGGACCGTTAGCGGCCCCACAGTGAGCGGGGCACCGAGGGTCGCAGCCCCTCAGGCCACGCAGCCCGTCAGGCTTCACCGCCCGCCCCGCGAAGCCCCGGCGGGTACCTGCGAGCCCCGCTGGCTCCGCCACAGCTTCAGCTGGTCCGAGGCGTCGTCCCGGCTGTCAGCCATTTTGCAATCTCAGGCGACCCCCCCCCTCCTTCTTTCCTTCCCTCAAGACAAGGAGAGCGGTGCGGGGAGAAGCGAGCGGTGGGGCTGCGCTCGCTACCCACGAGAAGGCAGCAAAAGAGAAGTCACCCCGCGGGGAACCGTCGCCACCGCCGTGTCCCGCAGCACCAGCAAGTAGCGGGAGCGCCCGCACCTACGGCTCCTACCCCAGCGCTGCGCCCGCCCACCGCTACCTCCTCGACCAATCGCGCTGCGCCCAGCGGGCAGCGCGAGCTGTGAATGGCTGAAGGGAGCGTCAATCAGGCGCAGTGAAGGGGGCGTCGGAGGCAGCCCGCCGCCTCAGCCTGTGGGGCGGTGGTAGCGGGGCACTCTTGTTACTCGAGTTTGAGTAATTAGCTGTGTGAGTAGCTTAATTTTTGGCGTGGTTTCAGTTTTGAGACATCAGAACTTTCCAAAGGCTGCTGGTTAGGGAGAAGTTATTCAGTGGCGTAGGAAATGACAGGACAAGGGCACTGTGAAAACTGCCATTACTTTTGGGGGTTTCAGAGGAAGGGTTTGTTTCAGTGGGGAATTTAAACGTTTTAAGTCACCAAATCAAAGCGACTAAGTATATAGTTAAATGTTCTTTCTTGTATCTGTGCCTCAGATGAGGCACAGGTGATACATTAACATTGGTCACGGTTCACTCACCCCCATTTCTAAACAGTATTTTTCTAGAGGCCTGAGTTTTGTTACCTTAAAAAAACCCAACCCACTTCTGAATTAATAAGGGTTATACTTACAAATGATGAGGTAAATACAGGTGTCCCTTTAAGCAAAAGTGTTGTCTTTGTGTGCTGAATTCGCTGTGCTACAGCTCATAGGCCCATCCCTTGTACAGTAACAGACACAGAGCTGAGGGAGGTCCCCTGGGTTTGTGCCTAAAGAACATGCTACAGACAATAAAAGTGGTTAAGAGGGGGTTATTTTTTTCTATTTCTGAGGCAAAACCTTTCGGCAACAGGAAAAACCTATCTTTACCTATAGGGTTACATGACATTGTGCACTTCAAAGACAGCTGAATATCTCCACCTACCAGTTATTCAGTGGATGTTCATTTCATGGCATGTACTTCTGTATGGGGTTCCAGGACCCAGACAAGTGGGTAAGACTACCTATACAAGCCAGAAAACTAAAATATATATACCTTTCCTCTTATTAGCTCATCCCCAATGACTATGATTGGGGGTAATCATAGCAGATAGGAGACTTGTCTAAACAAACAGAAATTACCTAAATGTGGTTTGCAAGTTTTGTGAGTGTGTTGGTTTGTTTCACTCCCTTCGTTCTTGATAAGAATCCCAGTGTGGTTCTTTACAGAATACGTACTACAATAATGAAGCAGAGCAGCTGTTTACCCTGTCAGAAAGAAATTAAATACTTGTCTGCAAGATTATATCTACTTTTTTTTTTTTTCCTCTTAACAGATATGAAGAATAGCCTAGCTCATTATTGCAGTTGGACAATTGTTTTGTCTCGTATGTGTTATTATGTATTAAAGGGCTAAGACTCTCCAATTCAGGTCTGTGCTACATAGAGAATATCACTAGTGGTACTCCTTTTCCTCAGTGATAAGAACAGCAAACCCCCTTTCCTCTGCTTCAGCCTTATTTGGGATATTTCTTTCATGTCTCCAGGTCTCGTAATATTTTCTTTCCCAACATGATAACCAACATGATAACCAACATCACAAAGAAGAGCAAGAAAGGTAGATCACCTATATTTCTAGTACTTTTATACTAAATATACATCATTGGATTACACCTACTTCTGCATCATCTGTGCAACCACTGATCACATCCATGTACCAGTCTTCCACTGCACTTAAAAGATCACTGGGAAAGGTAAACAAGAGTAAATCCACAAAGATCTAAGCAGTTTTTGTACAGAGCAAGAAACTCTCTATAGTATCAGCCAAAGAAAATAGTATCCAAGCTTCACATCAAGGTCTTAACCCACAAGATCTTTTTCAAGATGCTAGCTCCCATTCTGCAAACTAAGTTTGTAGGCCTTGCCATCAGCCATTTCTGAGAACATTTAATGATCTTTTCAGGTGTTCATTCAGACTTACAAGTTGTTCTTCGTACAGCTTTTATTTTTTAAGGTGACAGTTTTGTAAAAAAAAAAATGGTCTTTTCATAAGAAAAGACTGATTGAGAAGTCCTTTAGACTTAATATCAGGAGTGTATACACGCATTTTTTTCAAATTAAGTAATTGATATTTCAGTTTGCTTAACCAGCAAAATGAGAGAAATGTAGAAATGTTAATGAGGAGTTGTTGTTTGCTTTTCCTTTAAAGTTTAACACTTCCTGTCAACAAATGTGTGTAGATAAATTTGCTTGTCGCCAACCTGTTTCAAAGTAAGAGTAACTTGCAAAAACTGCTTCTCTTTCACTTCCTATAAACCCTTCCTATTTATCTGTAATGCTAGAGGAAGGGATATATAAGTGCATGTATACATGTATGTGTGCATAAAAAACAAAGAAGACATTAAATATTGCCTAAGGAAAAAAAGCAAAAAAAAATCACAAGAAAAGCAGGTGGAACATCAAGGGCATGTATTTTCAAAAATTCTTGTACTTTAGCTTTACTGAAACCAAACAACTGTGACAAGAAAGCTCATATGCAAAGCTAAGTTAACTGTGGAACAAATATGAAATTTTTCTCTCATCTTGCCTTAATCTTCTCTCTTTTCAGTGAAGAAAGCTGCGGATGCTGGTTTAAATTCCACAGGTACCTTGCTGTGGGTATCTTTATTTCCTTTTTTCCCCCTTCTGTTTTGATATTTGATTCCTGCGGCATCTTATTTGCCTGGGTAAGCCTCCTGTTAGGTATGCATTAAGTAAACAAACTTCAAACAATTCCAAATTAATCATCTTTATTTAGCTGGGGAGACTGGTTCTATGTTGCTGCGTGTCTTTTTGAGGCATAATTTAAACCACACTTCACCCTTAATTAAGATTTTGTGAGATTAAAAGACATAATACTTAGCATTTGTATTTTGTTTTCTGTATTTAAAGTAAGTTTAAACATAAACTGCAAGGTCAATTTCACTCAAACACACACACACAGTCATTCTGTATATAAAGTTTACACACAGATCAGTGATTTACACCCAAGGGAATGATCTAGAATTAGTGGAGTAAAAGGTCTATAATGTTAATGAAACGGATTAATTGTTAATTAATCAGTATTGTTAATTAAACTGAGAACACTTATCACTGGATTGGGAGACTTAATTTTTTTCCCCTTCTACTTATATCTTCCAGAGTTTCCAGATTATGTACATAGAGATGAGGCTTGGATACATTTTCTACCTGTGCCACAGGGAATAAGGTCAGAAAGAAAAAAATAAAGACTCTGTTTCAGACTCATGTAATAAAAGTATAATTTATATTACTGAATATATTTTCAGTCATGAAACACATTTATCTGCTGCAACTATGAGGTAATATAATGAAACCATTCTTGAGACTTGAAATAATAATTGGTCTTGTCATAAATATCCAACCTTGGGATATTTACAGTACCTTTGGAACCTCTACAAATGACTTTTCCACTGATCTTTTTGCTGTTGTGTCTGATATAAGCATCAGGGCACAGAAAAAGCACTGAAAGAAGAGTGTATTCTACTTAACTGTTCATTTACATGACAGAGGACTGAGGGGTAGGTATGGCAAGTACAGTACAAGAAAAAGGTTGCTATTATATTTTAGAAAAACAGAGAAACATTATTAGAAACAACAGATTAATGTCCATTGTAATACAGTAGATGGAACATACTGTTTTGATTCCAAAGTGGCAATACACACCCAAAGCAATTTTATATGTCAAACTTGCAATCAGATAAACATGAAGTCCCTGCTATTAAAGGCCAGCCAACATCTGGGTGACAGGTGCTGAGATGTCAGACATAATATATGGTGAGAAGAAGAGATGGAATATGAGATAGGTAAAAATGAACTGGGGATCTCTGTATATACTCTGTAAGTTATGTCTGAAAACATTTTACTGGTTAGTAAGCTATCATGATAATATTTATCATTCAGTAACTTGTGTTACATGTAGTCTTTTTAATTTTGTATTGTCAGCCATCAGATCTAATGGAAAACACTGAAAACACCGTGAAATAGAACATCTTCAGAAGATGTGGACTTTAAAGGAGGATTGAGAGAATGATACTAGTGGAAAAGGTGAGCAGGCAAGAAGTAAAAACTGGCTTTTACAGGAAATAGCCATGTACATTGTGCTGTCAGTTGACAGAGTGAGATACTAAGATGGAGAGCAGGGAGAAAACATAGACTTCTAAGGAAACACACATAAGAGAAAACCAGGAAAAGGTATATAGGGAACCTCTTTTTTGTGTTTATAATCTTCTGTCATATGAGGACAAGGTCTTAATTTAAACCACTAGAGAAAAAGACTACCACCAGAGATAGAAAAGTGTGTTAGAATAGTAATAGTTTATAAGTTTCAAACGGTATGTTTTCCTTTTCCTCTTCTTTCATTCTCCATACACAATAAAGACTTCAGTCTACTGAAGGCTTCACACTACTGGGGCAGATATCTTCAAACTTTAATAATGTATGTGGTTAGTAAATGTCAATGGATACACCAGTCCTACAGTAAGATAAATTTTGCAGCATTTTTACCAAAAAGAGAATTTCATTCATCTATTCATATTTTGCAGCAATTTATTACATTGTATAAACAATGCTGCTGATCATCATCAAAACTTGTGTTTCATATTTTATGCTGGAAAGGCAGCTGCAATATATTATTGAGATAACTGAAAGAAGAATAGAATAATGCAACACTTTTCAGGTGATAAGGTATTCAAACATGTATTTAGCATCCTGGATATCTCAGCTGTGTATTTTTATTCCTAGAAACCATTATTAGAATTATTTCACATCATATAAATACAATTTTCTTCTGTTAATGCATTTGTTTTTATTTTATTTTCTTTCATCTTAGAGCACCAATAAGTAAGCTTATGAATGTTGTTCTGCATTCATTTTCTGTATTATTAGCAGTATTGCCTGAAGCATTTGCCTAATAGCAGTTAATAAAGCCTATATTTTGAAACATGATTTTGCCCATTGATGCTTCATTCTGCATAAGAAAAGATTTAAAGCTAGACACAGCAATATTTTTTTTTCTGTTGTTAGAATCAG